GAAGCCGAGGCAGGAGGGGGCTGTGAGTCTGGGCACGGGGGTGCACGTGGGGAGCACTAAGGAAAGGCATTAGTTCACGAATTTAGGTTAATTTTTGTGACTAAATCATGTTTAGTAACCACTATGTTTAGTGGAAGGTCAGAGACCTTGAATCTGAGAACAGAACTGAAATTCTTCCTTTCTTCTTTCTCCAGTACATGACCAAGAGAGCTTATTCCCTTCCTGAACACTATTTTTTTGTGCACCAGTCTCTTGCTGGCAGCAGTATTAACAGTATTAAACCAGAACCCACTAAACCCATTAGCCTTACACCCCACCTTAGTACACACCATAATAAACCTGAGACTTTTATCTCCAAGGATGAAATGAAGACCCTAAAAATCCCTCAGTGCAACAAGGGGAGCTGGAGAGAGCAGAGGGCCTTCAGCAGTAGCAGGGAATGTTGTGAGCAAAAAGGGTGTTTCTACTAGGAATAGTAGACAGCAGCACCTTAGACGCAGCAGCTCCCGAGGTGCTGGCTCTGCTCCGTGGGTACTGGCAGCTCCAGCAGCGCCTGGGAGCTGCGCTGGCCTCTGCGTCGAGTTTGGTTGGGAGCAGCTTTAAGTGAGCAAAAGCAAAATAACAGTAATAGAAATAGAAATACAAATGCTAAGAGGGGGGTGGTGAATGTAGATGTGAACTGTTCCATTCAGTTCTATCAGTGAAACATTTGGTTATAATTTGATTTATGTCAGAAATCAAAAAAAAAAAAAAGGAAAAAAAGTAGCTTTCAAAAAGCAGCCATTTGAACTTATTGCTGGGCTGGAGAAACTTAACAAAACAAATACTAATTAAAATTAAACTTTTAAGGCAACACTTGAGTATATAAAACTCACAGGCTTTTACTCTTATTTTGTTTATTTGGSTTTCTCCAATATGGCAATATTTTTGCTCTTTCTTTTTTTCCGGTGGTGTAGAAATTCCTGCCCCTCTGGCTAGAGTGCATGGACCTGTAATTGTTTCCTGTCCTCAAAATGGGGCAYGGGCTAGCGGGGGAGAGGGAAAATGAAGGGAAAAAAAGGAAAAAAGGAGAGAAGAAAGAAGAGTAGAAACCTCACACTGTGAAGGTCTCCATACTGGTCCAAGGAAGAAGTAATCATTCCCCTAAGAATTTATGTCCAGTTGCTTTAGTTTTTGTTTGTTTAGTGAAAGGCTAAGACTTCCCATCTTTCTTCTGAGTAAGAGCTAGGATTCCTGTGTAATTCTTTGATTTCTGAATCTGAGTTTTCAGGAAGAAASCAAATATAGAGAAAGTTGAATTAAAGCAATAGTGTTAGCAGCTCTTGCGACCCTTGCTGTTTTCCTACAGCTCCTAAAAGCAAGATGGGCCAGTGTCAGAGTTTTAGCCCTCAAGTTGCCCCTTCCCCAGACCTTCCCCAGAAACGTCTGCAGTTGCAGACAGGTTGAGAAAAAATAACCTGGGTAGAAACAAAATTCTTCCAATTCTTAACTTGAAAGACTCTTACATTGTTTCTTAACAAATCTTACTTATTTTGAGGGCTAACCTGTGATTTCGGAACGTGTGCAGCTGCCGAGGGGGAAGCTCTTGCAAGCCAGCCGCTCTTCACGCTGTGTTGACGTTAGGAGAGCAACATCCTCCACGGAAGGTCTTCCTGGAGTTACGATGTTTATAAGCTGAGTGAAATCCCACCCAATCACCTAATTACTGCTATATTTATATGATTTATAAGATGTACGAGCTCTCTGTGCACAGTGTCAGGCAGTGGCATTTCCAAAGTGGTGTTTTCTTCCCATGTTGCTTCCTGTGCTCCGAGTCTTCATGCTGAGTAAATCTGAGCGGCCAGCCCTGTTCCTGGCCTTGCTGGAGTTTGTGGCCAGGCTTTTACATGCAGAAAGAGCAGACATCGGATCAGACACAACAGGGCTACTGTTGCTCTCCATCAAACTCTGCTCCCTACCCACAGGACCAGCAGGCAGCAAAGAATCCACCTTCAAACTAGACACATTAGTGGATGGAGAACCTGCCATTATTTTAACTTTGTTCTTCTCTTTGCCCTAAGTGGTTCTTGATCGTGGTCAGCAGGRGTTTGTGTGAGCGAATGCCCAGTACCCGACACCAGGAGGTCCTGGTGCCGCTTGGAACTGCCGGGCATTGCTGTAAGGTTCAGAGTAAATCGAAATAGTCAATCAAAACGTCAGCAAKAGAGGAAAAAATATGTTAACGGCAATAAAATCCTTTCATGAATGCTCAGCTATGTTTTATAGGGCTTTCAGGACTTATATCTCCTCCAAGTCTTTATGAATACTTGAGACTAAATAACAACATTTTGGTGAACACTGAAATATTTGACATTTTCAAGAGGTCAGGATCTATTTTATAATCCTTGGGGATTTCAGATAATTTCCTTTAAACTGTTTAGGCTTGGGGGAGTTAAGATGTTGTTTATGTCTGAAAAAAGAGCGTGGGGCCGGGGCTGTGGCCTGGGGAGGTGAACGCGGAATCGCTGAGAGGCGCCTTTGTTGGGCCGACAACAACGGGAGGGACGAGGAGCGGAGAGGGACGCGTCGCTCCGTGCCCGCGTGCCCATCGGCTGCTGYGTCTGGCTGCGCCCCGTGGGAACCGCTCCCTAAGGACGCGTCAGGCATCCCAGAGGCAGCTCCTGTGCGGGCGCAGCCATATCGGGATGGACCGGCCTGGCCCGTGGAGCCCCCAGCTCCAAGCTAAGAATACGCTTAATTTGAACCAACAGCCACAAGAAGTTCCTGCGCTGGGAGCTGGCGACCGAGCCAGGCTTTCACAGAGCTGTCTGGTGAACTCTACAGGAAACAAAGTTCCCATTGAAGTTATTGGCAGCCTGTAACCGAGAAATAAGTGCCGGGCTGCGATACGAATGAAGTGAATGCAAGCCGTGCGGACCAGATGTTGGTCCTGTGCTTTTAATTAAGATTTCCCTGTGCTCGTGCTTGTGCCGGGCCCTCGCCCGGGCGCGGAGTGCCCGTGCCGCCCGCCGCTCCAGGAGCAAGGTCTCCCTGTGCCACCGTGGTGGCTTCCAGGCGGCGCCCAGCCGGCCGCCAGCGCCGCGGGACGGGGCCCGGGGACCAGCGCTCGGCCAGTGGCCCCGCATGCCGATGGGATCGCGCGTCTCCAGCAGCCTCCGGCACGTGGGGAGGAGAAGCTCACAGAATCATGGAATTGTTGAGGTTGGAAGGGACCTCTAGAGATCATCTAGTCCAACCCCCTGCTCCAGCAGGGACACCCAGAGCACGGGGCACAGGGCGGCATCCAGGCGGGTTTGGAAGATCTCCAGRGAAGGAGACTCCACAGCCTCCCTGGGCAGCCTGTGCCAGGCTCCATCCCACAGCCGCTCCCGTTGCCATCTCCGGGCGGTCACCGCAGAGGTGGCTCCGCTCTCGGTGGCCACGCCGGGCCGAGGCGCCCGGGCGGCCGCTTCCCTCGCCGGGGCCGTCTCCTCCCGCCGCTAGATGGTGCGCGCCCGTCGAGGGAGGCGCAGGCCCCGGCGCGCCGTAAATCAGCGCGGGGCGCGCGCCGGCGGCCCCTCGCCGGGGCACGGGGCCCGTAGCTGCAGAATGCAGCTTTGTTGGCGGCCTGACCCGCGGCGTGACATCAGCGCGGCGCTTCCTGCCGCGCCGCCGCCGCCGCCCTGACACAAGCCAGATGGCCGCGGCCGCGCGCCCGGCCCGCTGACGCGCTCCCAGCCGGGAAAAGAGCAGGCACCAAAAAACCCACCGCGTTTCCGTACGCGGAGCTTGGTACCTACGGGCCTTTGATCTCTTCGGAGTCAGTCGTCTGCTCTGGGTTTTATTTTATTTTTTTTTTGCCCGGTTCTGCGGTCCCTCGTGGAGGTGACATGTTTGTTTATGCTTAATGGTTCTCTGTGGCCCTTGGCTGTGCGGCGCGCTCCTTCCCCTCCTTTCCGTCCCCGCTCAGCAGCACAGAATGGGTTGGTTTCGCGGYGGGGCGGGATTGGGGGAGCCGAGCTCCGGCCCGGCCCGCGTGGGCCCCTCTCCGTGGGCAGCCGCGGAGCGGCTCGGTGCTCCACATCGCTGCGCGCGACGTGCTGGCGCTGCAGGGGCTCGCCGGAGACCGCGACCGACTYGGGTCCCGCTCATGCCCAAGTCCAACCGTTCCTTGGTGCATTTGTGGCCACCTGCMTCCTGCCTTTTCCCCTAGTCCCTCTCCAAAATCCAATTTGCTCCAATCCACCCTGTGCGGCCGCTGCTGCCCTCGCAGAGCCGGGAGGCAGCGCTCGCGCACCGGCCCTTCACCGATGAAACCGCTGCTGCTGCCTCTCTCTTTGCTGTATTTAAGCTGGCCGGAAGGTTGTTTAAATATATCCCATGGACAGCTTGCAATGCCAATTATTTCCTGTCCTTTTTTTTTTTTTTTTTTTTTTTTTTTTAAATCACGTTTTAAAGATGTCTGGCAAGTTTATTACAATGAAATGTCACCTCTTCAAACAAGTCATCAAAAGAGCAATTTTTAGCACTGACTGGTCTCCAGCATTCAGCAATGTAGTGGAGTAGTGCAGTTTGATTTTGTTTAATAACAAAAAGAAAATAGAGAGCCCTGCACATTTGATCTGCCCTGCCTCGGTAGACATTAAAAGAGGGATTCCTGATGTCCAGCTGAGGTGCTGTGGGTGACCCAGTAGCTCCCCCTCGCTTTCCACGAGGTCAGTTCTTACCTTGCGTTGCTCCAAGTTGGGCGCCTAAAGCAGGTGATGGGAATTGTGCCTAGAAATCCCGCCCGGTCGGCCGGGAAGCTGCGGCGCCGACTGCCGCGCRCTGCGGATCCAAGCTTGAAGCGGGGATGAGACATGAGCTAAACCCACTGAGAAAGGTGCCTCCAGAACTGCACTCCCACGTGGCGGCCTTAGATAAAAATGTAACCGTTTTTCTGTGAATGTGTCTTAACATTTTTGATGTTTTAATTTGTTCTCATTTTTTTTTTCTTTTTTTTTTTCTTCCCTACTCAGCTCTTGCCCCTGTTCTTTGCCTCTGGTTTTGTTGGTGAGGATATCACAGTGATGTCTGCATTCAACCTGCTGCATTTGGTGACAAAGAGCCAGCCAGTGGCCCTGCGAGCCTGTGGGCTTCCCTCAGGTCGAACGGGTGCTGCTTGTTGTGTCACGCGTAACGAAGGCCCCTTTGGGAACGGGTGTCTCTGCTGCAGGAAACGCTGCGCCATGGGCTGCTCTGGTTTGTTTAAATTCCCCTTTGAACCAGAAGTTTGATTGCTTTTTAATAAGCCGCTGGCTTCGTGGAGAGTTTCATATCCTAGGCTGTAGGATGCTTGGAAGTGCTACCCAGCTTCCTTGTCCAACTTACTCTCGCTTAAATTTTATAGTGTTTTCCTCTTTCTTGGCAAAAAATGTGCAATTAAACTGAAAATTGGTTGTGTTCAATGTCATTTATCATTAAAAAAGATATTTAGAGGAATTTAATATATAGATTACTGTTAAATCACATGGCTTAAAAGCAGTGTCCAAAGTATGTTRAAGTGTACTGTCCTTAACACTAATGTGTCCCTTCTTACAATTTTATTTTAAAGTAAGTATGTTCCACTGAAAGGTGTGTAGAAAAAAATATTCAGAATTTAAAACATAGTTCTTTTTTTTTTCTCTAACAGCGTATTATTTAGACACTTCTCTAAATATATAAATATATAAATGAATATGAAAACATGCAACTTAATGCCCAGACACAGCTGCGCTTTCCATGTATGTAAGTCCTGGCTCTGAAGAAGTAGATCTGTGAGGAGAGCCATAAAACCCCATCTCTGTGAACTGGTTACACGATTAAACCCTTAAACCTGAGAAGTATTTTGTGCTTCACTTCAGCAACATGSGCAATGTCTGCATAGGAGTGACAGTGTGCTCGTTATGTGAGCCAGAATAAAAGCTTCTCTAAGTTAATTTAGGAGGTACTAGGCATTTTCTTGACACCTAAATAAAAAAAGATACAATCCTGGCTGATCAATAGTTGAAACATCAAACAAGAATCAGCTCGRGCATTTGTAATACACTCGCAACTGTTTCATAAAAGTGCAAAATGTTATAAGCACTTTTTGCTCCGGAGCTGTATTTAACAAGCATATGGAGGTGATGTTCTAAAGATTTTTTCAGTGATAAGACATCAGTTTTCAAGCTGATGGATTTTCTAAAGCTGATTACACTTTATTTGAACTAAATCTGAGTCCAATTTTTGCAGCATTTGTGTTCTGTTTCCCCTCACATGTGCACAAAACTCCCATTAACCTAGATAGGAGCTGCAAACGCATTGAGGAAGARGGAGAATAGCCCACATTGTGTCAGCCAGACCTTTGCTTCCTGCTGTATGTGCTGGAGAGCCAGATTTAAAGTCCTAAAAATACAGCATAAGCAAATGTCCCTAGCCCTGGGATGCCCCTGCTGACTGCGCTCACCCTGCCCGCACGTCCCCTCACCCGAGGTGCTCGGCTTGTGCTGCCCCTCTCTGTTTGCCCCCAAAAAGCAGCTCCCAGAGCTGCCCAGCCAGAACCACCCTGCGCAGGGCGACCCCTTTGCCCGGCGTTAGCAAATTTGCCAGCTGGTTTTTCCGGCAAAAGCCAGTGGTCGTATTTGGGGAGCTAAAAAGCCGGGAGCACCGGTGTTTGTTCCTGCCTGCTTGATCCATAACTGTGCAAACACTAACAGATKGAGTTCCACTGACTGGCTACTTTATATATGTATTATAAACCAAAATTCATCTGCTAACAGTGGAATAATATACAATCACATATTTCACATATTTTAAGAGGAATCTAAATTCCCCAGAGGCTTATAAATTAATGTGGGCTAGCTTTGCCTTTGGTTTGTTTTTTGTGTGTGGTGTACGGAGGGGGTTACAAGTAAATGGTAAAGCATGTATCAAATTAAACATGGGAATGAGATTTAGAGACAACATCTGTTTAAATGCCACAGTCCACTGTGACTTTAACTGTTGAATATACAGAAAATGCCCCAAGTTCTCAGGGCTCTTTTTTATAGCACAGCACATTGTGTTGGTGCTTTTCCCACCCTCTGGTTCCGTGCAGATGGTGACTAGGCAGCGATTCCGCTTGGTGCTCTGTGCAGCCCCAGGCTCAAATGGTGCAGGATTTGCTCGTCTTTCTTCTGGGGAGACGGCAGCTTTCCTAGGAACAGGCACTTTACAGCAGGCTGGAAGCTCCATCAGTTTAGTGTGAGGGATCACAATCAAAACGCTGGCAGTCTCCTGTCCAAGCTCACATATAAAGCCAAAGCCTCTGGCCAGGGTTGTATCTTTTAAAGTATTTTCTGCCTTTAACTTGAACTGCTTCTGCACAGTTTTAAATTCTGTGCATTTAAATGTTTGCAGGACAAGGACTTTAATGGAAGTATCATTTGAATTTGTGTATTTGGAATAGTACCTAGAATCATGTTGTTTCGTTTCTTCCTGTGATATTTGCTTATGCCACAACAAACGGATTTGATATTATATTTGTTTTAATATATGAAGTCATATTTGACCCTGCTGGAGCAGGGGGTTGGACTGGATGATCTCTAGAGGTCCCTTCCAACCTTAAGGATTCTGTGATTTGTAGATCAGAAGCAAATGGAAATGTTATTTCAAAAATATGAATGAAATAATGTCCTTCTTAGAAGGCCAAGGAATATCTTAGAATAGGAGTAACCTTCTGTCTCGCCTTTGGATCACTCTCTACCTAATATAAAAGTATGTGTGAGTTAGGCTAGCAAATCKCTTCGTAAATCAAATTAACCATCGTGATAAGGAGGTGTTTTTACTTGCTCTTTTTCTATTTATATATTTATATATTAACACCTGGAGTGTGGATCTATTCCTCCAAATTGTATTTTAAAAATACGCCTTTTCTGAAGTGAGGACTAAATATTTCAATATGTGCAAATCTGGGGCACGGTTTGACCTCACCCCATACGTTCCTGTGTGACACTGTCTAAAGACAGCCCAGTACCATACGTACCCAGTAGATGGCACTAACCATATATTGTTTTGCACACCCAGAGCTATATGGAAAGCTTCCCCTTTAGGAGTTACTCAGACACCAGTACTCCCTGGGACCTTTTGAACATTTTAAGTTATTTTTTAAAAAAGCAGGAGTGCTGGGAACAAATCATATAAGTCTGCGCTTATGCACAAGCTACATCCGCCCTGGCTCAAGATTTCTTCATTTCCAGCAATGATTACAGCTCCGTTGTGTTTTTCATGTGATTTAGAAGTGTCTCTTCTTGAGCCTGTTCTGTTAGAGATGAATGCTCGGAATTTSTTTGGAAACAGAGGAGGCATCTACCAGGATTTAATTAATTAATTCATAGGAATTAATAAAAAAGAACTTTTTAATGGGAAAACTAAACCAGTGGTTTTAGCGCATACCAGCAAGTAACTGATACAAAAAATGAGTATGCAGATTCCATGTGCATGTGTTTTCTGTAGCAGACCACCAAGATATACAGAACAAGAATATTTCATTTTGCTTTGCTGTGTCTTTTAATTATTATGGGCTCTCATTTCCTAAAAAAAAAAAAAAAATCCTTTATTTATTTAACACCTTGAATGTTGTGCTGCTTACTTCACATTTTTTGCATGAGATAATTTGGCTTTTCTGCTTTTGTAGATCAAGGACAATTATGGTAGTTGTAAAATTAAGTAAAAGTAATGGTAAAGAAATAAGAAATTACGGGATGGATTTAGGTAGTATTTGTTGCAGGAGGTATATGAAATAATAAAGTCATAGATAATATAAAATTGTTGTGAAGTGTTTAATTACTAGAATAACTATCAGTAAGAAATCATACTTTTGTAGATTAAGCTACAGTACATCTGTATGAAGATGGTGCTGGGCATATGGTGTAAGTCCTTATTAAATAAGTATTTATAGTCTATAGATTCTATAGCCTATAGTTTTTCATAGCCTCTTCTATTAAATATTATTTTTATCAGTAAATATTTTATTATTTTTATTGTTTTATTGTTTTGCTGTTTTATTGTTTTATTATTAAATACTTTATCATGTTATTAAATCTTTGTTAGTTCCAAGTTACAGTGTGACATCTTTCCATAAAATCAAAATGAATAGCTAGTGAACAGAAAATTCCTGGGTCTASAGGTTGGATTTTTAGCGGGAATCTGTTCACATATAGGATCACTTTCAGGAGCAGATCATGCAAACACTTCCATACATGAGTTACTCATATGCATTAGTCCCTCTGAACTCTCAGACTGCTCCTATCAGGGAAATTAGAGCCTGCCAGATGTGTGTTTAGCCATGACAAAAATCTCGGAGAAAACCTGGTATGAAATGTTCAAAATTCTGTAYTCACTTACGCTTACTATATTTTGTGTAACTAAGTATGTTTAAATGTTTTTATATTGTATGTTTGTATGTTCAGAGCTATAATTTCCATAATATATGTTGTGACTTTCCCATACATAAATATGTATCACTGAAGATGGAGTATAATGGATCTCTCTTCACCGGCTTTGAAAGAATATAAAAGTGAGACTGATAGGTTTTATAGCAAGACCCACTAGTACAACTACGTTTAAGAGCCTGTCCGTGTTTTCATTATAAATCCCTATTTTCTGGGGTTTATAACTTGGACATAAAAATTTGCTCTGGGGTTAAATTTGTCATGCAGRTCTAAGCTGGATGTACTTTGTCTTCAGAACTTGTTGGAGAAGGCAAAAACTAAAACTTATGTCTAAGAAACTAAATAAAATGCAAATACCAGTTGGCAAGAAAAGCAGAATTTCTACTTAAAATACAATCTGACACGTTACCGAGTTCACCGCCTCCCAGAAAGGACAGGAATTTTCTGGCACATGCCTGGGCAGAGCGCTGAAGACGAGCGCAGTGTGAGCACAATGGGAAATCATGTGTTAAACTGTGCACGTGTCGCTCATATCTAAATGCCTCTTTCTATCTCCGGGTTGCCTCGTAGTGCTGTGAGAGTAGAATCTGACACATTATCCTATTTTTGAAATGTCTGGAAAAAAGCACCTTTCTAAAGGTACCTTTACAGGGGTAAGTTCAATGTTACGTTTGCTTAATAAAAAGCAAACTCTGTTTACAAACGTTGTAAATT